CCCTACACCCCCCAGTTTTGTGAGCTATGGTGCCATACAGCCCACCTTCACCCCAAGGCCCCACCCCTCAGCAGCCCTGACACCCCCCTGTAAATTCGAACCCCCCCATTTCAATTCCTGGGGAGGCCAATGCTGCAGTAGCCCGATGGCCCCGCTGGGGGAGGCCGTGGCCGCGTGGCGCTTGCCCGCTGAGGCAGCTGCGGAGCCCAGGGTGCGCAGCTGAGTCATCCCTGCCCTGGCCGGGCTGCCCATGCAGAGCCTGTGGGGCGAGAACCCACCGCTGGTGCCAATCCCTGACTGAGGGGCAGCGGTGGCTTGGCACCACCAGCAAGCACCTCCCAGGCCCCCGCACTGCACCGGTGCCAGGTTCCAACAGGGGGTGTCTGCCCGTGGCCCCTCTGTGCTGCCTTCCCCAGCCAGCCCCCCACCCCGGCCCCAGCTGCCCGCTGCGGCCCCCCCTGCTCACCGCCCCTAGAGATACTAACAAAGCCTGGCCCCCCGTAGCTAATGTAGGGAGCAGCTTGCACCCCGTTTCATGCTTGGTTATCTGCTGGCTCTGCACAACTGGCCACTGGGAAGCCTGAGGGGGGAGGACGAGCAGGGGGACTCCGCACCTCCTGCCTCAGCAGTGTCAGCCAGGGAAACTGAGGCACAGGTGGGCAGTACCGATCACCAGCGCTCCGGGGGTCAGGACAGAAGCCAGGTAGGGCTCAGGAGACCTCGACTCCAACGCATGGGCAAGTCCCTGCCCCCCTGGGCCTCACTTTCTCCATCTATCCACGGGGCCTATGATCTGCCCATGGGCTCTCCAGCCTGGGAATGATGGGGAGACTACAGCGGGTTATATTGAAAGGTGAACTGTCAGGTTGGAGGAAGGTTACTAGCGGAGTTTTGGGGATCAGTTTTGGGGCCAATTTTATTTAATCTTTTTATTGCTGACCTTGGCACCACAAGTGGAAGTGTCCTGATAAAATTTGCAGATGACACAAAGTTGGGAGCTATTGCCAATTCAGAAAAGGATCGGGATATCATACAGGAAGATCTGGATGATCTTGTAAATTGGAGTGATAGCAATAGGATGAAATTTAATAGTGAGAAGTGTAAGGTTATGCACTTAGGGATTAATAACAAGAATTTTAGTTATAAGCTGGGGACACATCAGTTGGAAGTAACGGAGGAGGAGAAGGATCTCGGAGTTCTTGCTGATTATAGGATGACTATGAGCCGCTATTGCGACATGGCCGTGAAAAAGGCTAATACGGTCTTGGGATG